GCAGTGGCATGGCGGATGGACTTTAGAACTGCCTCTTTGGTACCTATGTCACTTTTGGAGAAAAGACGAAGCACTTACTTTGCCAAAGTGGTACATCTCACTCGTTCGTCCATGCTAATCGTTTGGAACAAATACAAACGGGCGCTTTGGTTCCCGCAGGCTCCACGGACCCTCGAAAAAAAGCAGTCTGCCTGTTGCAAAGCCATACTTAATAGGTCGTAAAGCTACTCAATTGCTTCTGCGCCCCCTCTCAACTTCCAAATGTCTGGAGTCTCAGCCTGAATCTTTGTCCAGGCGGTGTTTGTGACCCTTCCCACTAGACCCTTCGATCCATGTTTCTCTTGGGCTTTTGAAGGGTGGCAAGGCCAGGTCTTGGTTAGGCAAGTGGAATCCAAGCTTCGTCTCTCGATCCGGATCCGAGCCGGATCCGATGCTCCGATTCCATTGGCCCACCTTTGCCAAGAAGGCACAGGCTGCTACTGAAGCTCCTTTTGCCCCAAAGGGGCGGCCAGCTGCGGGATTCTCAGACCCCCGACCTTTCTTTTTTTTGGAGAAAATGGCTGCCGCACAACTTGACAAATGCTTGTCTTGGCGTCCGCTCCCCTCAGTTTGGTCATCTTTTTTCCGGGGACCGAAAGATGCTAGTCCAAATCCAGAGTTCCATGTTGGGTACATATTTCTCATTTTTGTGTTTGGGCCCTTGCAGGGAACAAAAAGGCACAACTAGGGCCTGTCCTTCGACCATGGCCTAATGGTGTTTTGGGACAGTGCCCATGTCATTCCCGAGAAGACAGGAAATATATTCGGGTGGTCTCTTTTTAGAATTACAAGAGTTTGTGGTGTCAAAAAGAAACCCAAAGGAAAACCGCTTCTTTCTTCTTCTTTTTTTTTTGGGGGGGGGGGGGAAGAGACACACCTATATAGGTTCTGAAATCAGGAGACACCCAACATGATTGGTATCCTTTGGTTCTCAACCAATAAAAGCGAGAGAGGCTGCCCCCCCAAAAAAAGAGAAGCTACCCATATTGACCGGTGCAAAGACTTGGGGAATATTCAAGGTCAAAGCAAACACAAAAAGTATCGACTGTGGTTCTGCAGGAAACCCCTGACTTTGGTGGGAACTTTGCTAGTTTCCTGTAGAATTTCCTGTAGCTGGTTTCTATGAATAAACCGTTGTTTTCCCATTCATAGTCAACATGTAAAGGGCACAAACATGATTCAGGTGTTGCCTGTTGCCTCTCTTTTTCAAAGTTTCTTGTTGTTGTTTTTTTCCATTGACACTGGTCGCGCATCCCGCAGCTGTTCTTGAGCCAAGTTTTAGCATTGGGCGCCTAATTCGAATGACGCCCATTGGCCTGAGTGATGGGCCAGCAAGGGCGGGACAGGGTTGCTCCACGGAAGTCGAAGTCGAGGGGAAAGACGGGTTGGACTTACGCTGGATGTGAATTGGTCGTGTGTCCTGTATTTGCTCTTCTTGGTCGCTCAAGCAATAGCTTTTAAACAGGTTGAGGTGATGGTTGAGTGAGAAGCATGGGGAAACCGAATCTGATGAACACCTTTTTGTGAGCAGCCCTGTTAGACCCGTGGTTTCGTGCCTTCGACGCGCTCCGAAAATGCCAGCGCTCGCAAACTCATGGGGTTCACCAGCATGAGCCCCACGAAGGTCCCTGATGTCTGATTCCCTGCAATTTGTGATCCACGGCCAGCTCCGAAATCACGTCGGGAATCACTTGCCACACCATGATGTGGAGATGGATTCGCCAATTCCCAGATCACCTGAAACGGTCCAGAGAAAAGCCAGGAGTCTTGGCTGTGGCTATGTTTGTTAGGACCCCCAAAATGGTGGTTTTCATGTTAGGCGTTTGGCTAAGGATCTTCTTGTGATGCGCCTGTCTTTTCACTAGAGCCAACTCGGCCATGACAAGACTAGCACTCGTCAGCCGAGATCTGCAAGACATGCCCGGCTTGAGGGCCAGTTTCCTCTTTTATTTTACGGGACACCGGACATACATCGCCCAGATCACGGAGGGTGGTCGTCTCCTTCCCCGACTAGAGGGCGCGCTGGTGGACTGTGGCAGCACACATTCTTGGACCACCCCGGAGAACTGTTCACGCAAGTGCTTGCGACTTTGGTGCCTGCCTCGTTGGTTTCCACCCCTTCTTGCCTTGTCGCTTTTGCGTACGGCCTGGCAGTCTGGACCGAAATGCGGTGTGCCGAGCCGTTTAGTGGATGCCTCGCAGGTTGGTCACATGCTGCAATAGCATCCTGTGGCAACGCCCCCCCCCCCCCCCCCCTGCCGCTTTCGTGCCTCATTTGGGGCCCCTTTTATACCACGCACGCCTGATGCACCCTGCCCTTGCCCCTCTAACAGTCCTTGGCTTATGGGCTTCCACCCGCACGGATATGCCAGCAACGCAAGGTGCGCGCAGAGCACCAGTCTTGGTTGTCACCAATGCCATCAGTGCCATGGCCTGCTCCCATTTGTCATGTTGATGAGTTCTTTCTTCTCTGGTCAGTGAAGTAACCAGCCCCTCAGCTTAGCTTGAGGGCATTCTCTACACGGCAGTACTACAGCTTTGTCTCGGCGCAATCGATTTGCAGCCCGGCCTACCGATATGCATTGTCAGTCACATTGCACTTTATCCTCCGCTTGCTCGTCCAACTGGACCACTGACTTTCTGGAGAATGGATGGTTCAGCAAAGCACTGTGTTCTTGGTTGGGCCCATTTTTTGCAAAGTGAAGATGGCGATGCCGCCATGGCTCCTGTCGCCAATGAACATGTTGCCGAGCCGCCTTGAGCCTGATGATGTTTGCAGAGGTTCCATCCTCGCAAAGTACCCAGGCCATAAGATGCCTTTTGCCCTTCCATGTACCTCTGGCTCAGTAGGAGGCAGTGCCCCTCGCGTGTCCCCTCGCGCTTATGCGTTGGGGCATCCGGTTACGAAACGCCGCCAATACTTGGCTGCGGCCTTGTAGTAGGAGGCGTTGCTTTTCGCCTTCGCTTCGGCCGGGCGCAGGCATGGGAATCATTCCTGAATCTTCGTTTGCGCACTTTTTTCTGCTCAAATGCTTGTTTGCGCGTTTTGTGGTGTTTTTGCGCGCTTTTTTGGAATTTGCGCACTTTTGAGAGATTTGCGCACTTTTCGGGTGAAACTCCTCTGGTAGCCAAATTCGGCACTTCTTGTGTAAACAACCGATACCGCGCTGCTCGTGCCCGTGCCGGCGCAGCTGTTTGTTGAAGTCCTTGATGTTTACAGCATATCTAGCTCTTCTTTGTCTCCACCCAAGCCTGTTTTAGGCAGGAAATTTGTGGCACACCCGGCACAAGTACCAGCTATATATCACTTGCACTTGACACTTTGAGGATTTAGCAACCCGCTTGGCTCCGTGAAGAGCTCCCAGCCCGCAAGTATTGCCTGGGTTTGCACGGATCCGCTGTTTGCTCCAGAACTGTGCTTGCGCCGCATTTTTGTTGAGACAAGTCGCTGATAGGTGAAATTAGTCTATTTTCGGCGCCTTGCCAGCCCGCAATTTGCGCGCAAAAATCCGGTACTATCGCGCAAATATCCGCAATTGCGCGCAAATTCGAAAAGTGTGCGCATGTATGCGTGCGTTTTTGACCTTTTAATTAGGCAGCAGATGTCTAAAGCGCCCAAATTGCCAACCAACAGATCGGTTTTGAGCCACATGTGGTCGTCGCTTGAAGCTGCGCCACTTGCAAGAGCCGTTCGAACTTCTTGCAATTTCAAGGAGTTGAAACTTGTTTCACTTGACTGTCAAGCTGGCTTGGCAATGTTGAAGGCTATTCCCGACAACCGCTCCGTTGGTAAATAGCAAAAATGCACTCTGGTTCTTTGGATCATCTAAGTTCTGGCCGATTAGGCGCATGTATCCTTGCCTATAGTTGTTTTTGAACAGCTTGACAGGTTCATGTCCAGGCTATACACACCCCGCACCTTTTTCAAACCAGCCAAAAACGCCTCGCGCAGTTCTTGGAACTTTGCGTGTTTTTGATTGAAACGCGCACTTTTCCGTTGTGCGCACTTTTTTTGCTCAAATGAAGATGCAGGTTTTACACCCCACAAAGGAGGAGTACCCTCAGAAAAGACACTTAGCTCGATACGCTCGGCTTGAAAGGTGTTTGTCGTTGTCACGACGAATTGTCTCAAAATGGGAAGACCCCCAAACTGGGTTGTTTCCCTTTGGTTTGCCTTTGAACCGAACCCCAAAAGGGTGCCAAGTCCAAGAACAGACGAGCCATGGCGATTTGAACTAAGACTGAAACCTCCAAAGTGGTTGGACCTCTCCCATTCCCAGAAGAATGACGGCCCATGTCCGCGGTCCTTTTTCGGTGCGCCGCTTTAACCCAAGAAAATGGACCACAATTTGGTTTTCAATCGAAGCAGTTCCTGTCGTTGCAAAACAAAATACGCTCGCTTCCAGGTTTTCAGTGCGTGTCCGCGTTTTTTTTTTGCTGGACCCCTTTGAAAAACCGCGCACGGTCCGGCAAAAAAAGAATGAAGCACACAACATGCGGAAACATAGGAGGTGTGGGGCGCCGGGAGAGAAGAAACACAACACTCGTGGGAAAACAAGGCACTCTTGCGGGGCCTTCGGCTTGACAAGTTGCGCGAAGGATTTGAGCTCCCCGAAATGGGAACCCTCGTCCAGCAACCTCCTCAGGTCAAAAGGGGAAAGATGCAGATGTGTTCAATGTCTCACTTGGTCCATTTTTGCACGCATAAAGTTTAGACTTTGGGCCAAGCCACTCCATAGGTGTTGGGAATCGCAGGAAGCTCAATTCCAACCCAAGGCCTCACCAGGGGCACGAACCATTGAGCAAACCAAGGCACGAAGTGGAGGGTCAGGACCTGATGCCTTGCGCTCAAGTAGAACATGTGCACAGAGGAGAGTGATATCAAGCATCTAGTATCTCAAAGAGACAACAACTGCAGTTCGCATATGAGCACGCGGGTCTAGAGAGAACAGATCGCTTGAACGGTGCAGTGTTCAGAAGCTTAGAGTATTTGGCGGAAGCTTCTCGCCAGGACGCCTCTTGGAAAGCATTGGATATATCAAACCTCAGCAAAAGGGCCTCTGCATAACCCACGAGTGGGTCCATCGCAAGTTGGCCATTAGACACGTGTCCCTAAAGGGTTCCCTCAAAACACCCATGTGTGCTTCTTATTTGAGCGAAACGCATATGCTCCTCCAAGCTGATGTCGATTCGGACTGTTTTGCAGACTGGAACAGGAAACAATCTCAACTCTCAAATTATAGACTCATTGGGCTCTTATTTTGGCTCCCTGCCCCCTCCCCTCCCCTCCCCTCCCTGCCCTCCGAAACCCGCCTGGTTGCACGCTACAAGCAGAACGTGCCAGTCCTGCGGGAGGAAAGATTTCAGGGAGTGTCGCTTCTCGCGACACACACAGCTAACGCATTTTTTTAAAAAAACAAAAAATAATTGGGATCTGCCAGAAATAGTTTATCTCCGTTTCCTTTCCCTGTCAAAAACAAACAACCAGGGCCTCAAACAAGACGAGCCACCCCGGGCTGAGGCGCCGAGTGCTGCCATGGGCTCCACTTCCAGCGTCTTCGAGAACCTCGGCGCCCAGCTTTTGACCTTGTCTTGGTGCTCCTGTTTCTATCCCTTTACCAAAAACGGGGTAGCCTTGCACCTTAACCGCACAAAGGGTACACCTTTTCTTGCGATCGCTTTGATTGGCATGTTCGAAATGGAAGGACCGCACAGAAACAAACCATCCCCGGTACCGAGTTTTCTTGATTGGGGAATTCGGGTTCCTTCCCTTCGAGCGAAGGAACTGCGTGGCGCTGCGCGACTTGGCGCCCTGCCAAGACCCAGGCGCCGAGCTTTTCTTTGGGGCTCTTGGAGGCCAGGCGGAAAAGTCTACGGATGCCTCGCAGGCTTTTGCGCGAGGAACGGGGACTGGCCCGAAGGAACGGCCCGGCTTGAAAAGGGGGGTCTATAGCAAATGTTAATTTGGTTTTGGCTAGGTCCTAACCTCATCCTCCATCGTTTTGGGGTGCCCAGAAAAGGGGACTCCTGTTTTCCACAAGGCGGGTGCCGATCGCAGGTGTTGGCTTCAGAGCGTTTGGCCATGGAACTTGGCATATAAGCCGTCGAAAAAAAACTTCTTATAAGCGTTGTTTTTGTTCTTTTTTTTTTTTTTAAAAAAAAAAAGGCTTCTTGTAAGCCTACTTATAAACCTCCTTAAAAGCTCCGTGTAAGGCTCCTAAGCCTCCTCTTATCCTCCTAAGCTTCCTTTTGCTCCTTATAAGTTCCTCCAATTGTCGCTGGTGTTGAAGGGAAACCAACACGAAAACCACCATGTTGGTGGGTCCCCCCAAAAGAAGGAGAGTGTAACAAAAAGCAAAATGCGGAAACAAACAAACAAACAAAAACACCTTTTTGTCGCGAGGTGTGCGCTCAGATCGCCTGGAGGAGATGATGCAGGATACGAGAAAAAGTAAAGGACGTTGGGTTTTTGGGTGTGCAGGTTTCCTCACGTGTTTTTTGTTGTTTTGTGTTTTTATTTATGGGGTGATCTCCGGTTTTGTTATTTTTGGTTGGGGGGGTGGGGTGGGAATCTCCTTCTTTGTTTTCTTGGTGTGTGTGTGTGGGAATAAGCTACCGCGGCACTTCCACTTGTACAGTGCACGAGTAGGGAGCTGCGCAGAGCGTTGCGGAGAGTGGACCAGTTCACTGCTCAATCTGATGTAGAGAGTTCAATATGTGTGAAAAGATGGGTGGACTCTTTGAGCTTCATGCAATGATTTTTGCAGCTGGTAGACCAAGTGAACATTCCAGGAACAAGCGGCAAATGGTTGCAGCTCGGTTCCTCTGCGATTTTTCAATGAGCTAAGGATTGGGTCTATGGCGTAAACCGAGGGCGGCTCTTGGATCCTGACTTCAGGGGCTGTACTGCTTGAAGTCCTCGCTATTGGCTTTGCTGAATCCCCCCAATTATTTCAAGGATTTTTTGTTTTTGGGCTCTGATCTGTTTAGAATTCCTCGTTACCAAATTAAAAGTTATGCTATTGATGAACCCATGACACACGCGGTAAACCTGAGTACCTGGTGTGAACTGGATTTCTCCACGAGGTGTCCGAGCTCCGAGATCCGATAGGAGCTCTTCCGCCTGCAAGACCTGAATTGCAACGGCACCTTGGAGGAGGCGCATGTTTCGGTGTCTAGGGGTTGATTCGGGAATGCCCTTCCGGATGTTGGAAATGAACCTTGGAATTCCCTTGAAGGAAACCACCCCTTGGATGGTGCTCATAGGAGTCATTCCACTTCTCATTCCCTGAGCACCACCAAGTTTTGATCCCACAACTTTCTAGGGCCCTAGGGGTTGACTCCTTTTCCATTCTTTTCAGCCATCGTTCTTTTCAAGAACCGGATCTGTTTCCCTGGGTTTTGATGGTTTCCTGAAAGGATGGATGCCTGGAAAGAATGGGGAAGGTAGCCCTAGATTTTTATTTTTTTTTGGATTTTGCCCCCGAATGAGTTGATTCTGGGTCTGGGTGTGAGATCTGTGAGAAAAGATGTCCTAGGACCCATGTCTGATTTATTCCGCTTTGCTTGTCATTTAAAATGGTTTGGTGGGATTAGATGGGTGCGTCCCTTGTTTAGGGGACCCCGAAAAAGTTGAGGTTTTGCTTTTGGTGCTCATTAAAAATGAGAAGGGTACCCCCAACAAAGAAGACACACCCATATCCGTGCTGAGGGGTTGGTAGGTTCACCCCATTTGCAACCAACAGGTGGCCAAGTAGGGGAATCTTTGAAGTTGCCAGTGCCACCCGTGTTTCTTCTGTGGGTTCCCAAGAACTTGACTCAAGCAACAATCTCAAGGAGGCTTCGGCTTTAACCCTGCGGTTTCTGTAAGCACATTCCAAGGGTTGCCAAAACTGTGTTATATCTTTTCCGTCCATGTTGGTTTCAGAATAATTGTTCCTGTTTCCCGGCTGTAAGTGGAATCTATCACCACCGAAGATATGGTTTTGCTTTTGCTTTTTGTGCGTGTGTGTTTTTTTCCCGGGGGACGTATCCGCAACTGGAGGGATAGATTTCCTATGAGGCAGACTCTGAAAGTTAATGTTTTTTTTGCACCCCAGACGCCAGGCTTGGGCCAACGAATCGGGCTGCAAGAACCCCAGTCGAAATGGAATCCATTGCCGACAAGCGGTGCCACAGCTTCCAGCGACGGACCCCCCGCACGTGAGGCTCTGAAATTCAAGAATTGAACCACAAGTGGTTGGACATGAATCCCCACGTAAAGAAAATGCCCACAGGGTCCCCCAAAAAAAAAAAAAAAAAAAAAAAAAAAAAAAAAAAAAAAAAAAAAAAACGTGCGGGAGGGGAAACAAAACAAAAACAACAACCGCCAGGGTTGCATGGCACACAGCGGAACTCGGCCAAGCGGCGACTGTCTGTCGCCTTTGGCTCACAGCCCGGTGCGGCTCGGAGCCTCGGGGGCGCACGCTCCCGAGCTGCCGCGACCGCAACCGCGGGCAGGGGGGCCCATACGCCGTGTTCGACTTGGCCGGGTGGTTTTTGAAGGGTGCCCTTTGCGTGTTTTTTGTTTTGGGAATCAGAGGAGGCATTGTTTAGAGTTTAGTTTCAAGGGACACAGAGGAAATAGAGAGGAAGCCAAGAGGAAACCAAGTTTAGTCCCTATGTTGGCGAAAGGGTGAATCAGACCCGCTTCAACCGTGGACAGCACCCTGCTGATTTGTAGAATTTGCTGAGTTTTGCGGAAACCCTGTTGTTCCCATAGATCCCAGGTCCGATAAAGACTTTGGTGGAAAAATTCGCTGTCAACCCCAAAAGGCGGTCCAGCTCTTTTCTGCCAGGTCCTCTGAACGCCTCGTCAGAATTGGCAAGCATGCAGCAGAACGCCTTGATTGGGGTACACGCAATTTTAGAGGGATTCTGGGTCACCTCTCAAACTGAGAGGCGTAAACTGTTATTGACATGCAGGGTTGGATATGTTCTTGGTGACTGCCAAGCAACACGTGTTTGCCAACACCCTCTTGCCGTTGGGAAGTTGAATCCGTTAACATCCTTCAACATCCGCAGTCCGCGGATCGAATGATTATGTACCCTGGGCTCTGGAATTTGCTGCAAACGGCTCGGGCTGACAGTCTCGTGTGTTTCGTTTGGCGTTGTGAGGTTTGTCAATCTCTGATTTGCCTACGTTCCACTTGGGGCGCCGCGTGGCGCAGAAATCCCAAAAAAATCCGGCGGGCGGGAGTCGGGAGGGGTGGCGATCCGAGTCCTTTGGCATATGCTTCTCAAAATGGTCCCCTAAAATGCTTAGGTAACCAGGGTGGTGGGATTCAGGGGTTTATCCAACCACTTCTGTGATACTCTTGGGAATCTCCTCCTTTATATGGGGGGGTTAGTCTTAAGCCCTTTTTGTTGTATCACAGAAGTGGTCATTTCCCACAGCCCTGCTTAGGTACGATTGGTTTTGTTTTTGGTTTCCCTTGAAGTACGAAAAGGCGGAGGTCCAGCTCCAAATTTTCACTCTTTCACAATCGAGGCTTGCTGTCTTGAAAGAAGCTCGAGCACTTTTAGACCGGCAAGTGGCAAAATCTGATATCACAGTTTCGGAGTCCAGTACTGGCAACGTTTAGTGGAAATTAAAAACATTTGAGAACCTTTTTTTGGCCACGGATTCGTGAGAATCAGCTACCGCCAGGCCCTCCAACCCCAGTTGGGCAACGAAGCACGGCCGAGGAAGGCGATCGGGGGGCGGAAGGAAGCCTTTCGGATGCCGTGCGCGTGGCGTGTTTGTTGGCGGATGGATCCCGGGAAAGTGGAAGGACCCGCAATTGGTATACGGCGCAAATTGAAGAAAAGGTGTCATTCATTTCACCAAAGGGCCAAGCGGTGTAACAGGCTTTCAGCCAGTCGACTCGGGTTCCGTAGCAGGCTTCTTTTCCCAGAAGTGGACTCAGGACAAATCTCGAATTGTCCAGTTGGGTGTTTTTTTGAGGGTGTGTGGTTTGTTTTTGCTACCTGGAAACACGCTAATGGCTCCTGGAAGCAAAAAACACCAATTCCAAGTCATTCGTGGCTATCATGTCATGCCACATCTCATGTCATTTCAGCCTCAAGATCTACACAAGGCACGCGACTCATCCGCCGTTTGTTCCCAGCCCAACCCCCCATTTGCCTCCACGACGCGGCAAGGGCAAACCATCGCAGCTTCATGGCCACGCGGACTCCCCTGTCGTGGAGTTGCTATAGATCCCCCAGTAGTGCCCTTCTCTGCCCTTTTTGGGGGGAGGGTTCCCCTACTAAAATGAGCTACAGCAAACAGGGTAATTACCCTTATTCCAAACTCTCTACTGGAGGACCTAGTCGGGCCATAGGGAGACCTGTGTCGGGTACTTAGCAATTGCCAGAGCCCACACAGCCAAATGGGAGTCGTCCGAATTGTCCTTGTATTCAGGTACAAAGGGGGATACTTTTTTGTCTTAGTGTTGCCCTCCCCGACCGAAAGCTTCACGATGGAGATCGCAATTTATTTATTTTTTTCGCGAAAGCTTTGTGCAAGGGTGGTTTGGTAAAAGGAAATTGTAATGATGAAAAATGTGTATTTGCCGGCAGTGCGCGCAGACACGAAGTTAGTTGGAGGAAAGCGCGGTCTGAGAGTTGCCGCAAAAAGATACGTCGCTGCAAATGCAGCCCCCAGCTGAATCTTTCGGGTCCAGTTGAGCTTTCAACCCGGACTGCGGAATTCGACATCGCGTACTATTCGTGACGCATGTTGTGAGAATCGCCCCTCGAAAGATCTGCGGAGGCTGCCAGAGTTATGTCTTCGCGAAGATGGCATTTCCAGGAAAATCTGGGGAAATGAATTTTCAGACCATGGCCCAATGTCGCCCATGGCGCGCATGGATGAACATGGTTGGACAAGTGGGGGTTTAGGGCAACTTCTGTGACAGCAAGGAAATGCCTTTAAAAAAAGTCGGCATAAGGATGGAAATCCCACATTGGTGTCACAGGCTTCGTGTCAGGCTCCACTGGACATCTTGTCAGGTTTGAACGATCACGTTGGGCTCGTTCCGTTTGAGCCACCGCTTGGCTCGGTGAGGCCATGGCGCGTCTGCTGCTGGCGCTGCTGGCGCCCAGCGCTGCCGCGCTGGATGTGCGCGCCGACCGGCCGGAGCGCGGAGGAGCCATATGCGGGCGCTGGGGGAGAGGGGAAGGGAGCCCAAATGGTTGTGGGTCAAGAATAGGTACCCAAATGGAACCCTGGTAAATGGAAACATGGACTAAAACCTGCGGTCCCCTGATGGTTTAATTTTGACCCATACCCAAAGAAGCCCTATATAAGGCCTCAATAGGGCTTAATAAGGTGTTTTTTTGGCTCCCTCCCCCTCCCCTCCCAGACTCCCTCCCCCCAGCCCCCATGACATGATGGGGAGACTGAAGAAGGAAATACCACTTGAAACATGGTTGAAACCCATGTGTTTGTTGGTATTTACAGGGGAATCGAATCATTCCAGGGAATCTTAGGTGGTGCGAAATGGATTTCGTCCATCCACCGCACGGACCATAATCTGAAGTCTTGCTTTCTTACCTACACCAGATTTGGGGCAACGATACCCTTAGACTTGTAGATCTTGAGAGAGCTTACGGGATTTGTGACATATCCCAGCAAATGCTTAACTTTTAGCAAGGGATCAAGGAAGCAGTAACGTACCCATAGAATCTCTTTTTGTTTTATGTTACTTCTGTAGGGTTAACACTGGACCAGAGTGGGTCCAAAAAAACATCTGTTGGGAGCCTAAAGGGCTGAGGCAGGCTTGAAGCAAACCAGAAGTCACCCCAATCCCAACTGCCCGTCAAGGAGCTTGTCCACAGTTCAGAACATTAGCGCTGCGAAGCCTAAACTCGCTTGCCCAAAGCCGACCATTTGACCTTCTAGTTTCCCTTTTGTTGGCCCCTTTTTAGCCATGGCAGATTTTGCATTTTCTCGCCCTTTGCGCACGTTCTAGGGGTACCTTCCCCATTTTTCCGCAATCTTGTTTTAAAGAACACCTCTGGAAATCCAGGGAAAACGGCCGAATTTTGAAAAGAACGATGGTTGAAAAGAAGGGAGAATCAGGTTGATTCCCTGGAATGAGTAAAGCCTCAGGAGATCGCTTTGCAGACTGCATC